CTTATATGCGAACTCTCTTAATTTGAATCAGTGAAATTTCACTGGTGAAATAGCTAGAAGTCGGTTACTGAATCATTTAGTGAAATTTTCACTGAAAATCAGTCATATATCACTGATTTCGAGTGAAAATTTTACTAAATGAATCAGTCAATCTGTTTTACCCATTACCGATAATACAGATTGACTGATTCATTTAGTAAAATTTTCACTGGAAATCAGTGATATATGACTGATTTTCAGTGAAAATTTCACTAAATGATTCAGTAACCGACTTCTAGCTATTTCACCAGTGAAATTTCACTGATTCAAATTAAGAGAAAAAGAAAAACTTCTTTGATTCAAAGAATAATAGTTTTCTCGGTGCGTGATTTGGTCAAAGTGAACCATTCGTCATTTTTTTTTGTCGTACTGTAATATTTCAAAAGTTTACATCTCTTTTTTTTAATTCGGGAAAATTTTTATTTTTCAAAAGTGTAAACATAAAATATGCATAAAATTTGTGGGTAAAAAAAGTATTTGTATTATAAACAGAGTGGGCATTGATTTAATGAATAGCGTATATACAAAGATTTCTCTCTCTCTCTCTCTCTCTCTCTCTCTCTCTCTCTCTCTCTCTCTCTCTCTCTCTCTCTCTCTCTCTCTCTCTCTCTCTATCGTTATACGAGAAATTTATAGTTAAAGACGTAAAATAAATGGAAGTTTCATTATATATATGAAAGCGATCAGCGCAACGATGTAAAACATTACAGTGTTGTTCATAATTATTAGAACGGACTGAAAAAATGTCATTTTTTGATTGCAGAATTTTTATAAATTAATTATTTGCTTCTGAGTAACAATTTTTTAGTAATTTATGTTCTCCTTGAATGTTTACAGATTGTAGTTATTGCACAACATCGCGTAATCTGCAGAAAAAATTATTCTCTCTTGACATTGTCTATTTTCGGTGTTCAAAAATATTCGAACGGCTGATAAAAAAAGTTATATTCAAGTAAGTATTAGTCGGTTTCCTTTTCACTTCGATAAATTTTGTATTTTATAACATCGTAAGTTAAAAAAAAATTATTTAGGGTGTGAGAAATAATCAGGACAATACCAATGCCCAAGAGTTTGGAAATTTCCAATGATCTTCGCTATCGCATCATTGAAGACCGAAAAGATAGATTATCATACGCAGACTTGGCAAAAAAGTATAAATTGTCAAAGTCCGGTGTCTACTATTTGTGTAAAAAATATGCGACAACTGGATTCGTCGAAAACAAGAGCGGGAGAGGCAGAAAACCCAAGACAACTGCGAGAGACGACTCCATGATTGTAAGACTGGCTAAAAAAAAGAGCGATATATCGTCAAGGGAAATTGTGGAAGACTTAAAATTAAACGTATCAGCTGTAACAGTTCGCCGACGACTCAAAAAATCAGGATTAGACAGCCGTATCCAAAGAAAGAAGCCATACATCTCAAAAATAAATAAGAAAAAACGATTAGATTTTGCAAAAAAGTATGTTTCAAAGGATTCTAAATTTTGGGACAGCGTTTTGTGGTCAGATGAAAGTAAATTTGAGCTTTTTGGATCAAAAAAACGTAAAAGAGTATGGCGCCGATCAGGTGAAGCGCTTAAACAGGCGAATATTTTGCAAACGGTAAAACATGGCGGCGGAAATGTCATGGTTTGGGGCTGTTTCGCCTCTAAAGGTGTTGGAGAAATTGCGATGATTGATGGGAAAATGACCGGAAGTATGTATGTCGGTGTTTTATCCCAAAATCTAAAACAATCTGCCACAAACTTGCGTATGGGTCGACGATATATCTTCCAGCAAGATAATGACCCTAAGCATACGTCGAAAGTCGCGAAAGATTATTTCTCGAAAAACAAAATTCAGTTACTGGGCAGTCCACCACAAAGTCCAGACCTTAATCCAATTGAGAATTTGTGGTCGATTTTGGATCAGAAGTTGCCTTTTGAACGACGAAAAAATAGGAATGAGTTTTTTGAGACAATCAAAAATGAATGGCGCAAAATCAGCCCGGATACAACGCAGAAATTGGTAGATAGTATGCCTCGCCGACTGAGAGCAGTGATTGAAGCCCGAGGAGGTCCAACTAAGTATTAAGCGATAATAGTTGATGGTTAAAAAATTTTTGTTTTCACTTTTTGTCACAAATTGTTGACAGTTCGAATAATTTTGAACAATGCGTTTATTGGTTTTATGTGAAAATGTTTCTATTTTCATTAATTTTATAAAGAAAATTAATTTGTTTTAAGCGTTTTGTACCTAATTAGAGTCAATTAAATGTAAAATTAGCTTATTTAAAAAATAAATTAAAAATTGAAGTTTCTATAGCAGAATGTATAAAATTTTTATTCCCGTTCTAATAATTTTGAACAACACTGTAGTTCAGTAATATTTGGTAATCATTTGCGCGCATCGAAAGTTTATAGTCTGTCAACAGTGAATACGTTTTGGTCGATCGTATAACTCCCTGGTTGCAATCCAGTGAAGCATTAAAACCGAACGTCGACAACGAACAATCGGTAAACGGTGATTAGTTGCATCACAAAAAGAGAGAGAGAGAGAGAGAGAGAGAGAGAAAATCGCTGTCCCGGGAGAATCAGTTAAACGAAATATCGTGTTGTACTAAATGTTCATATTGCCACGATTCGTTATATTACTGGCAGCGCTATTACGCCCGCGCGCGTAGAAAATATAATTAGCAGTAAATTTTCGAGGTCTCGTATATCACTGGCGTTAACTGTATATATATATATATATATATATATATATATATATATATATATATATATATATATATATATATATATATACAACATACAGATATAATCAACCACATAATTCCTTTGATGTTCCACCGAAAGTATTTCAAACACTGATTCCAAAATATTTTCTTTCAATTATTATTACACTTCCCGGAAGTCATCACTCTTAATATTAAATACCTCTTTCTTGGTTGTGTATCATTAAAAAATTCATTGATATTATTAATTAAAAGCAGACAATTTTTTAATTGATTATTATTTCTTCATGCTCTTTAAATATTTTACTCGCATCATCCTGCTCTTTCTCTCTCTCTCTCTCTCTCTCTCTCTCTATAGCAAAGTACTGAAAGACAATTAATTTTTGAGGTTATGTCGCTATGTATATTTTATCGATATTTTAGATCGATCAAGAGCTGTCAGCAAATTATTTATTATTTAAACCTTAGTTCGTCGTCTTGAAAGATTAAATTTCTAAACTAAACGGATTGTATAGAGCAGCGATAAATTAATTATCTTGACAAATTTTTTATAAGAAATTATGTTTGATTTATAATAGTAATAATAATTTCTATAATTAATTTTTAGATAGGTAGTAATTTCTATTAAGTTATTAATTTTTATTAAGGTAGTAATTTCTATTAAGTTAATATTTTCTATTAAATTAATAATTTCTATTAAGTTAGGTTAAAGAGCTAAAAAATGTAATTCCCATAATCCCCACCAGGCGTCCGATTTGTCGATTTTTTTTACCAATAACGGCCATTTTTGTAGACAGAGGGTTAAGAACTATAACATAACCTCAAAAACAAATTTATTTTTTAACAAACTATTTAAATATTCCTTAAGAAATGGTTTTATCAAAACCATTGTAATTGATGAAAATTCATTTTGATAATAAACATAAATGTTTCATGAAGAAGTCAAATGGTTTTTTATATATATATATATATATATATATATATATTAAAAACAAGTCGTAAAGAAGTTGGATGAAACATTGAAATTGATTATGTACAGGGAAATAATTCATATTTCGTCATGCGTAAACGTCGATAGACGTCTGTGTAAATTGACTTCTCGAGCATAATAGGTCTTGAAAGTTTCTCATGGCACTTTATACCATGGTTTCTCCTTTCTACTTGGATAAATCACTATTATTATCTTCATCAGTTTCTGATTCAACAACTGTATATATATATATTAGAAGGTGAATTAATCTCAAAATTAAACTATATGCATTATATTCAATATCCTAATTCGTTATTCACCATTTCCGGTAAATTTGTCATTTAATCTCATGAATCTCAAAACTCTTATATTAAGGAAATAACTTTTTTTTTACTTTTCGTTTCAGTTTTTTTTACATTATGTAAAAATGAAAAGTGAGAAAGTAATTTTCAAATTATCCATACGAGATTATTATTAAAATAAATATCGACTCATTTCTTGGGAAGTTATTAGAGAATATTGCGTGTAATGGAAATTGTGTGTATATAGAATGATAATATGGAAAAAAAGGTACAAATATTAAAAGAGTACAAATTATATAGTGCAAATGCTGATGATCCGTGTAATTTGTAATCTTCGATCATCACGTTGGGTGCAGTACATTTCGTGAGAGATAGAAATCGACGATATATAGATATATATATATATATATATATATATATATATATATATATATATATATATATGTATACCAAAAAGGCACGAAGAAGAGTGACGTTTGTCAACGGGGCATAATGTACATTCGCGTTTATTCCGTCTCGAGATTTTATCGTTTATACTCTGATGCACGCATCGTAAACCTCGCTCCATTTCAAAGGCTCCTCTGTCGGGCGGTTTAATGGCCTCTCGTAGAACACACGTCGATGGGTCGCAAAGTTTCGCAACCAATTTCACAAGACTTTACCTCTCTCTCTCTCTGTCTCTTTCTTTCTTGATGCGACGACCGGTAAATATTATTTCTTTGATCAGTTTATTCAGACGGTGCGTCAACCCGCGATAGCGATATACTTTGACAGAATGAAAAATGCAATCAGTCACTTGAAATAATCTCCCCCTTTAGTCACGGAGGTCTAAATAAATATTTACTATCGATAATTTCCTTTCATTTCGAATTAGATAGTTTCTGTTAGTGATTTTTAGAAGTATTCGAAGTATTATTAGAAGTAATTTATTTAAAATTCCAAATTAACGAAATTTTTATTTTTCTGTTTTCAGTTGGACGCAAAGAAGAGTCCACTCGCCCTCCTTGCGCAGACATGCAGCCAAATAGGAGCCGACCCACCATCCAGTAAATCCCTATTGACCCCAATGGATAAAAGCAGCAAATCGTCTAAATCCTCTGAACAGTCTCGAGAGAAATCCTCCCCAATCTCCGTTACAGCGTCCGATTCCTTAAGATCAAGCTTTAAGCCCTATGAGTCTTGTTTGGGACGGGAGAAAGCATCAAGCCCCGAGGAGCAAAGAGCAGCATCAAGTCATTCGGCGTCCGGTAGAGCAAGAACACCGGCAAACAGTAAACGATGCTCCAGTAACCAAAGCGCCTCATCGGCAAGGGCAGCAACGCCACAGGGTCGTAGAACCGCCACACCAAACGGTGACTCAAGGGAATCACCCTCCTCAAGAACAGCAGCAATCTCCGGCTCTTCACTATCCACATCGGATCCACAAACATCATCAGCAAGTCCCTCATTGCAATCGAAACCCTCCTACAGTCCCGCTGGTATGCTAGCAATGACGGATCCATCCATCAAGGATCTACCACTCGGCACTTTCAAAGCCGGTTCAACACTACCAATCTCAACCTCCGGCTATCTTGGCTATCATTCCCAATTACCCATTGACGTTATGGCAAGCTCTCTCATGTCTCAACATCACGCAGCGGCAGCTCTCAAAAATGGCCTAGCAGCAAATCCCTACCTCAGCTATGCTCGAATGAAAACATCAACAGGCGCCGATACCTTAGTACCAGTTTGTCGCGATCCCTATTGTACCGGTTGTCAATTTAATTCACATTTTCTCGCCACATCGACGGCAAATGTAAAAATACCAACATCAACAGCCAATGGTGGTTCATGTCCAGCTGGTTGTACTCAATGTGATCATAAATCATCACCTTATGGACCATTGGGACATACACCGGCAGCTGCTGCCTATGCACATGCCCAATTGGCAGCACTTGCTGCTGCATCACAACTTCCATATGTCTGTAATTGGATAGCTGGTGATACGGCATATTGTGGCAAAAGGTTTGGTACATCTGAGGAATTATTACAACATCTTAGAAGTCATACCAGTGTATCAACTGGTGATCCTAGTGCAGCAGCGGCAGCACTTTCACTATTAACACCATCGGGATTACCACCAACACATCCTCTATTGTCAAGGACATATCCAACACCACCGCTCAGTCCATTGGCAACGGCACGTTATCATCCCTATGGAAAGCCTTCAAATTTTCTACCACCATCATTGTCGTCGTTAAATCTACCTCTACAACCACCTCATCCTCATCCAGCAGCCGGACTGCCACCTTATTTTTCACCATATTCACTTTACGGTGGACCACGTCTTGGTGCCACATCCGGTATGCATCCTTAAAGTGCAAAACCAAACATAAAGACTGTCAAAATATGTTTCAATATACTTTACGGATTTAACTATCTGCCTCCCGTTGTCATTGTTGAGTGAACTGAGTTTGTGTTTAGTGGAATTCCAAAAAGAACCTAATCGTAGTTCATTATGGACCTTTTGTACTGTTGTACATAAGTACTTCTGTATTCTATTTTTGGATACAAAAGATCAAAATTAATAAGTCCAAGCCAAAAGGATGAAAAGTTCGAAGTCCACTAAGGACAAAATAAAAATCTTAAAAGATCCAAAAGGGGAAAAAATTAAGAGCCAGTTTCACCAACTCCAGTTAAAAGTTAATCAGCTAAAGCCAATTTAATCATGATTTGTCGGTTAGGGATTTAATTGCTGATTAACTTTTAATCGGACTTGGTGAAATAAAGTTTAAATAATCGAATTATGTATTCAATTCTCTTTTTTCATTTAAAATTGTTGCTTTTTCGAACATTCTGTTTTTTTGGATCTTTTACAATTTTGGCTCTCTTGATTGGACCTTTTGTCTTCGATCTTTTGTATCCCATTTACTCGCACGAATTGAGAACGCTGTGCGCGCACATCTGAATAGTGGGGGATAGTGAACGGTGATTGGTTCCCCCATATCCTCGTTACTTTTGCGCGCAGCTTTCTCAATTAGGCCCACTCTACAATTGAGAAACATTAACAACGCTTTGCAATTTTCTTTCTTTAAAATCTTTTACAAATTAAAAAAAAATCATATCTTTAAAATCATTTGGGACAAAAGCACATAAAATTTTTTCATTCAAAAAAAATATTTTTTCTAAAAAATCGTTGATTATAAACGTAAATTTCGGTGTAAAATAAATGCATAAAAACCAATTTTTTAAAAATTTTAACATCCAAATAAAGCATATTGAAATATTTTTTGAAAGTTAAAACTAAAGGAATAGGCTGAACCGCAACTTGCGTGAGTTTTTTTAACTGTGATTTCCGAGTGTGAACGCTTCTTTTCCTCTTGTTATATTGAAAGAAAGAAAGAGAGAGAGAGATGATGATTTTATTAAAAAACATCATATATTATATAGCTGTGAGGGAAAAGAAACGAGCGTGCCTGATGATAAATCTAATTAATGTTCCTTCATGAACATATATATACGAAAAGCTCGAGCGAAATTATACTTGGAAGATCATTCGGACAAGTGATATACATAAGTCGATATTTCTTATTGAGATTAGTATATAATCATTGTGATGTTTGCAAAGTTAATTGTTGCTTTTTTTCATATTTAGTTAAATATTTATTATAATTGATAATAATTATAATGATAAACTTATAATCTATAATTATAATTCATAATTATAATTTATAATTATAAATTATAATGATAATTTGTAATTATAATTCATAATTATAATTTAGTTTTTCAAAATTAAAAAAATATATATATAGTCAAATTTCAATTTTTATATATAATATAAAATTTTTTAATATTTTTCTGAATATCATTATTTATAAAGAAAAAAAAAGAAAAACTAAAATTCAGAAGCAGAGTATTTTCATATAGAATTTTTCGAGATTATTATTTTTTTTTTTAAATATATAGTTTCAATAATAATTTTGCTCCGCTGCTAAACATATTTCTACACGATAACAATTTTGCGGTGACAGTAGCATATATACTCTTTTATCTGACAATTGATGACTTTTGCACTCGAGCGACTTCGCTTATGATTCACAAGCGGTCAACTCTAAAGACTCTAATATATATATGTATATATATGTTTCATTGTTTAAAAATCATGTGTAAATTTTTGAACGTTTAAATGAACAAAAAAAAATTTTTTTAATTTTATTTAAATATTACTTTCTGTAGCTACAAATAAATAATTAAAAATATTTATTGTCCTTTTTTTTAATAAAAAAGGTAATAAAAATTTAATTAAACAAAAAAAATTTTTTTCATTCATTGAAATGTTCAAAATTTTAGACACAATTAAAAATCAACAACACTGTGTAATTTTCTTTAAATTTTGTGTTAAACACAAAAACTAAAATTTTTTTTCGCAATAACTATTTTCAATTCTTCTCTCACTTACATATATATATATACTACAGATGTAAAATTTCATGAAACTTAATTTTTCAATATGTTTAAATTTTACGGTAAATTGATAAAAGAAAAAAAAAAATTGTGATAAATTTTATTTGTTATGTAAAATTTTAATTGAAGGCATAAGAAATTACATTTTGAAATATTGAGATTGATGAAATTCCATTTGAAAAAAAGAAAAACAAAAAAAAAAATTGTTCGGTAAATAATTAAGCGTTTATGTGTGTATAAGAGTAAAAGTCACCTGTACGTCAATCAAGAAGCACATCAACGTCAAAGAAAACACTAAAATGTCTTTTATAGAAAGTTAAGAGAACTTTGCCATCCATTGATTTACAGTCAACATTGGCCCAGTTTTAGTTTCTCGTTGATATATTATTTACGCAAGTCTATATATTGATGTGTGATATTGAGCAAATTAAACGAGTTCATCAAAGTGTAAAAAAATATTTTTTATTTGTTTAAATTTAACGTTCTTTTTTTATTGTTTAATTTTTTAGACGGAGCCCGCAACAATTACATAAAATTTTTTGATTTTAATTAAATCAATTATAGAGTAAAGGGAAAATACATAATTTTTTTTTTGAGGTTATGTTACTGAAAAATACCCTATTGCTAGGATAATATTCCCTTTGAGAAAATTTCACATTTAAAATAACAAAGAAGTTGTTAATTATGAAGGAGATTCCACAATAAATTGAATTGGCATTGTTTTTGTTTTGACTTACCGAGTTATGTAAAAACGATGCGCGCGCGCACCATTTTTACATAACTCGGTAAGTCAAAAACCAAAGCGATGCCAATTCAATATATTGTGGACTCTCCTTGATGTAAAATGTCAAAGGAACAGATGAAAATTTCCAACTAACATAACCTCAAAAAATAATTGCCAACTTAAAATAATAAATAGTTGACTGAAATCAAGTACATATTTATGCGTTCACTTTATATAAAAGTAAAAAATAAAATCGTCAAACATCTGTAAAACTTTTTTCTTTTGGTCAATTCTCAATAAACTTTTTTTCTATCTCAAAATATAATTAACCGAATGATCGCTGTGAAGACATTTCAATCGATCTTGACCATAAAAAATTCTCTTTCGAAAAAAAATCGGGGTAATCATTTGCGATTGATCTGATGAAATCAGTCTATGTCCATTATTCTATATTTATGATTTACGTGTTCATATCCTAAACACTGTAATTGTAATTAATGTAAATTTGTTCATAAACGTATGATATATATATATATGCCCCGCGATAACATTAATACGAGGCAAAGTGCTAACGATATATTTGATCGTCTATTTTTGCGTAACCAAAGTTTTAGTATCGGATTCGTTAGTCTCATCCCTAACGGGGCGATAATATTAAAAGTGTGTACATGACGTTCTACAATTTAAAAAAAAAAATGAAAAACAATTTCAAAAAGTATGAAAGACACACGACGTTTTTAATTTGAAGAATAATAATAAACTCAAAGAACGAAATGACAACTATTAGAAAATAAGTGCATATAATATCGACTGTAAATAGATTTATTCGGTATAGTAATTATTATTATTATTATTATATTATTATTATATTATTATATTATTATTATTATTATATTATTATTTGTAATGTTATTCTTCTGGGCGTTGTAAATGCCGATGTCTCTTGCTCACAAAGATTTTTTTTCATTTAGGTAACTCCGTTTTTTTTTCATATGTGATTAGTAATATGCAGATAATTGAATTTTTCAAATATGTGACACATACATACATAAAAAAAAACACACACACACACACACTGAATTCTTCGTTGTTTTATTATTGTTGTTACGTTATTATAGAACTTGTTTGAGTCTCTCTGAAAGTGAAATACAACAAATCGTTTCTTACTCAAAAAAAAATTATGCCTTATTATTTATGTAGCAAAATTCTTATTCCAAAATTCCTTAAATTAAAATTTAAAAAAAAATTGGTAATTTATTTTAGAAATTAATTTATTCGAAAAAAAAAATTGTTGCCATATATGAAATTTTGTGGATTTTTTTTTTGGTTTTATTTTTTTTATTATTTTTATTTTATTTTTGTTGTTCAATCATTATAAAGTAATAAATTTAATTGATATAGTAATTATCGTTATCATTATAGTATATATATTGCAGTTTATACAAATTAGTATAGTAATTTTTATATTGATCAAATAAATATTAATAATTCACAAAGAAATGTCATTATTTTTCACGTTTTTACTATTTGTAAAAGAAAATTAAAAATCTACAAAATTCGATAGAAAATATACATGAGGTAAGTTAATTATAATTTATAAGAATATTAAAATATTGCATTAATTATATATCAAGCTTTTAAAATAATCCACAATTAGATTTCACACATGTTCAAAAAAAAAAAGAAAAAAAAATAGCAATATCAATTTTAAACGAAATAAAATGAAATGCACTTATAAATGAATCATAAAATAAGAATTGAATTATATATACTATTTTTAACAAATGGATTTGAACTCTTTTTTTTTGGTAGATGTTCCAATTTAAGTCTGGCCACATATCTATACATAAATATATATATATATTTATTACTGAATTTTTACGATCGCAGACATACGACATTTTTAAAATTAATTAATCGTTTCGGTTATTTTTGTTTTGTTAATAAGAGTCGTTATAATATACCTATAACCTTTTAAATTCGGGAAAATATACCAATATATATTTTTCTCGTTCTTTACAGAAGTTTTAAAGAAAATTTCTTTGATTCCCCACTTGGAAAGATTCCCCGGAAAATGCCCCCTGGAGGTTCTATAAAAATTCCGCCGGAATTCCGACGGAATTAGGACTCTTAAAATTTCGAAAAAAATTGATCGGAATTCCGTCGGAATCCCATCGGAAATTCTTTGGAACTCCGATGGAATTCAGACGGAATTAGGACTTTAAAAAGTTTGAAAAAAATTAATTGTAATTCCGTTGGAATCCCATCGGAAATTCTTTGGAACTCCGATGGAATTCAGACGGAATTAGGACTCTAAAAATTTTGAAAAAAATTAATCGGAATCCCGTTGGAAATTCTTTGGAACTCCGATGGAATTCCGACGGAATTAGGACTCTAAAAATTTTGAAAAAAATTAATCGGAATTCCGTTGGAATCTCATCGGAAATTCTTTGGAACTCCGATGGAATTCCGACGGAATTAGGACTCTAAAAATTTTGAAAAAAATTTATCGGAATCCCGTTGGAAATTCTTTGGAACTCCGATGGAATTCCGGCGGAATTAGGACACTATAAATTTTAAATAAAATTAATCGGAATTCCGACGGAATCCCATCGGAAATTCTTTGGAACTCCGATGGAATTCCGACGGAATTACGTTGGAAGTTCCGGCGGAATTCTGCTAGAACCTCCAGGGGTCACTTTCCGGGGAATCTTTCCAAGTGGGTCAAAGATATTTGTGCATTAAATCCAAGAAATTCTAACATTTATTTATGGGCGTCAAAGAAACATTTAATTGAATTAAATAAAAAATTTCTTTTAAACGAAAATAATTTTTTTTTTTTTTTGAATCAAAGATAATTTATTTTAAACAAATAAATTTTCTTCGTATCAAGAGAAAAATTTTTTAAAACAATTTCTTTGAATCAAAGAAATCTTTTTTCTGTGTGTATATAAGTATATAATTCATTTACTTTTTAGGTCCTTTTTTAGAGCGCGTTAACGCATATAGTTTTCATATAACTAAATTATAAAGATATAAATAAAAATTTTATTAAAATATAAATATGAAATTATTACTGTTAATAAAGTTTGTGCCACAAAAAGTTGTTTTTATAAGTGTTGAGGTCATAAAAATAATGCTATATGGCTTTGAGAATAATTTATTATTTATGTTCTGTGTGTGTGTGTGAGAAAGGATCGAGAACAACGATTCAGAATGTACAATGGTTCATTTTGGTTTATAGTGTGTTGAGGCAAAAGACTTTGGACGCGCGGCAAAGTTGAAGTTGGGTATATTCATGAATACATTATCCTGTCTCTAACGAGGCGAATAGGTCAAGTGGATGGACTCACTAGCGGCTGTCCATAAATCAGTGAGAGATCACAGTCGAACCTTTACAATCTTCAGTTTCCTCGTTTCTTCTTCTTCTTCATCATCATCATCATCATCTTCTTTTTCTTCCTCTTCTTCTTTTTCACCTTCTCTCTACTTATTTGGCATTTCAACTTCTCATACATCTGCTTCCGCTTTTTGTTCATTGTCGCTGATGTCATCAGTAAATGTTTTATTGGCATCATTTTTCTGTTTCCCAACTTTTACAAAACGCAAATTATGCTTTAGATCCGCAATTTCTGTTTTTCTGTCAATTTTTACTCCAGAAATAGTAAAATTTACTCCTGAAATAGTATAAATTTTACTATTTTTGGAGTAAAAATTTGCTAGAAATGCGCAGAAACTGCGGACAGTTCCGGTTTTACTTTTACAATAGTAATAATTACTTTATTGGTTTTTCCTTTTTTCTCCGTGTAAAATTAATTTGTTAGAATTTTCTTTTAGTCGAATTTTTAATTGTTCGAATTATTTTTTGACTGAATTTACCGTAGGTTTATTTAAAAAAAATCGTTGATCATAAACGTTGCAAACTTCAACATCATCTTCGATTAAAATTTTTTTTTTTCCTGTCTTCATCTCTCCATTAACGCTTATATCCTTTCTTGAATTTCAACATAATTATAGGGTATCCTCATTCTCACTTCCTTCCTCTCAACTTCATTCCATCAATCATCGCACATTCAATTCTCATACTACTCTTTGTCTATATATATACCATCTTCAAACACACCCTTCTGAAACTTATTCACCGAAGAAATATATATATAAGTATTAATAATAATAATAATCTCCAGATCCTTCTGTGTGCACGTTTTACTTCGCTTCTTTAATAATGCTAAAATCCATTTTCCCTTGTCAACTTTCTCTCCCGTTGATTCTCATCTCTCTCTCTTTCTCTCTCTCAGCATCATCCGTTTTTCGGCCCATCAATCCAAATCTTTTACTATATTACACACTTGATGGCTTTTCTACTCAATTTTAAATTACCCCTTACTTAGCCTTATATTTCCTTCTGTTTTTGACATTTTATATATTATCCCTATTTTACCCTCTGCCTTGACCCTTGTCGTGACTCTTTTCATTTTGTCAGCTTCATGATGTTATGATCCTATATATTTATGTTCATGTATAATATATAAATTTATGTTGTCGGGAATTTTTACTCAACAAATAAAAAATATTAACTACTGCGGATTATTAAGTTCATTAATTAATAACAGCAATAATAATAATATTAATAATAATAATAATAATAATTTAATAAACATTTTTGTTCAAATAAGTTTTGTTATTTTATAATTTTTTAATTTACGTTTTTTCCCCACTAGCAGGGAGCAAAAGTAGAGGAGACCGGGGTTAGTTGACGCACTTTTTACTCTTTGTTGTGTAACTCACTCATTTTTGCTTTTTTAACCTTCGCTTGACAAGTTGCCCACCCAGGGTGGGCCAGACAAATTAAAATTGCCATATCTTCTAAAGTTTTGCCTTAATTGAATCGCGATTTTAAGTCACTGAACAAAATCTTAAGAACTTTCAAAAAATGTAAAAACAAATTTTTAAAAAAAATTTCTTCTTGATCATTTATAACTTTTATCAATGTATGTACGGAGATAACCGGGATGATTCAGATATTTTTTTAATTCTATTTTACAAAAAGACTTAAAATCATGCAGACTTTTCACTGTGAGTGTTTTATGATGTCAAATAATAGATATAAAAAATATTTTATTGCATTTTTCATTTTTTTAAATAATTTATTGTTATTATTTATTAACTTTCTTTGTTCTGCACCTAGAAAGATGCAGTTTTTTTCTAATTTTGCAATTTATCAAGCGGAATATAATAAAAGATAGATTTGA